CTACATTTAACACAATTTGTGTAAGAAATGTGTGAAACAGAACTTTGTGCTCACAAATGTATATGTTGAATGTTTTTGGCAGACTGTCAACAAATGGAGTCTGTATGAATTAATTTGTGACAAGGAGTGTGGTGAGGTACATTCATAGCCACTGTTCTAACACCACCACCATCACAACCAACAACAACAACAACAACAACAACAATAGTAACTGCTACTACCATTGTCACAAATTTCTGCTACAAAGTTTTATATAAAAGTTTATTGTTATGCTTTAACTAATTACTAACACATACTCAATTAAAGATGATAATGTAAAAAACAATTATTTGACTTTTTAAATTTTTGTATATATAATTATTCTTCTATTCAAACCCTTGTATTGCACTTGGCAAAAGCTCATGGTTCATTGGTTGAGAACCACTGGTCTGAGATATATTTGATATAAACAAGTTTCCTGAATGACTCTATTCCAGTCCTCGCACGATTGATTTTCATTACCTATTTTATTTTGATATTAGTGGTGACGGAAGAGAAGACCTCAACTTGGGTAGTATGGTTGACCATTTGACCACTAGCACAGTATTAAGAAGGTCCCAGAATTCATCCCAACTGTTGCCACTGAGATTAAAATAAAATAAAAAGGAATTAGCAAATCTCTCAATATAATGGCAATAAATCACTTGAATGCAGGAAAATAGCCAACTTTCAAGTTGTCACATTGCCCAATACACATCACACACTCAACAATACCCAACATAATATTTGTGTAATGAATGAATTGTTGTAAGAGACCTTCAGAGAATCATTGTATGGTATACCACATTAAAAATTACACCACTTCTTTTGTCTCACACCATCTACTCTGTTCATGAATCTATTTTGCTAAGAAATAATTAACAGACTATAATCATGTGTGCCATTATGCACATTGTTTATATTTCTCTGTATGTATTTTATGCATGAAAAGTAATCTGTATATGAATATATTCTTAGTGGACAGTGAACTATGTGTGTGTGGGATTTGTCTATAGTAATTTACTTCGTATAAAAGTTTGCTAAACGTTATTTGGGGTTGTATAAATTCAGCTATTTCTTAACATACTGTAACATTGAAATCCATGGCGTAACAGCTCCAAAGGGCCAAAGCCAACTAACTTGACTGCTGGCCTCACGTTCACATGCCTAAGCAGAGGTGAACGATCATCCAACCAGATATAGGGTGACGTGTGGTCAGCACAACAAATCCCCAACCATTGCTAGCTTTCCTGACCAGATTACACTACTTAATGTAGCTCCCCAATTTCCTTACGATGCTGGGTTGGCACCGGTCCCATACACCGGTCAAAAGCTCATGAGAAAATTTCTTTTCCCCCCGAGATTCGAACCAGCGCGCATTCCATATCACCAGTCCGAAGCATGATGCCTCAGACCGAGTGGGACATACTGTAACATTATTGCTAAGTAGTTATAACAGCGTCATAATATTATGTGTCACCCTCAGTGGACTAGTGGTTAGTGTGCTCGCCACTGGACCCAAGGTTTGCGGGTTCAAACCCGGCCGAGGTCGAAGTAAACCTGGTAGTCCCATGTTGTCGATTTATGGCATGTAAAAGAACCTTATGAGCATGATGTTTCTTAAGCAAAATTCAGTGACCATTTCTCACCTATGTCTCTCCTGATTCTCTGCTAGATGGCTCTAGCAGAAAATTGAGTAGAAATTGTGCAGATGCACACTTCAAGGACAAAGAAACCTTCCATATGGGTGGAGGCCAAGGCCCAAAATTTGGCTGTAGTGCCATTGGATGGAGGAATATGTGACTACATTTATTGCATTATATCTTGTTCTTGAGTTAACTTTCTATAACTGTACTGTGTTTCTAATTATTTTCTGAATGTGATGTGTTATATTCTGCTTTCTACCATCTATGGAGTGCACTTTCTGTCTATGGTTGAAAGCTCAACTGACACAATTTGCTTCACAAATGTAAAGAATGCCTAAAATTAACCTTTAAATCACAGCATTTAAATCTTGCAGTTTGCGATGCAGTATACAGAACATTAAAACTTGAGTGCACACTTTTCAAGAAATATTTTATCTTGAGAAGGAAAAGAGATAAAATTATAGAATAAAATGTATTTTAATTTAAAATTCTGGACCACTATGACTGCAGCATTTAACAGATTCAACTACTTTTAAGAATAGGGAAATGCACTGTATGAAAACTAACATTTTTTAAAATGCATACTTACAATTTGTCCATGAGTTCCCTTCTCCAAAAGAGGAGTCCATATTTCTTCTACTACTTTAGGTCTGATTTTGTGTGTCCAGCACAAAGTTTTTATCTGACCTCAAAGCCAACCTTACACTTTTGGCATGTGGTACTAACTTTATGGTCGATTACAAACGCCGAGCACACAGCCACGTAACTGATTTGATGGTACAGGCCAGTGCTTATTGTCACTAGCATCTAATTTGCCTATCTGGTGGCAACATTTGTGGGTCTTCCAGGAGTTCTCTTTTTGAAGTCTTGGTCTTCTTCTTGCATGTATTAGCAGGTCCTTAACTAAACACAAGCAAAATTATCTGTGGGAGGTCTTTTCACTACAGGAGAAGAAATGAACGTAGCTGTTGAGAACTGTTAGGTTTGGTAGGTGGAATAACATTTTTTGTCCACTTTCATGTGTGGCGGCTAATAGCGTGACTATCTGCCATTCTGTTGCTGTCGTCCACATAGCCCATGTGTCCTAATTTTTCACTACAGCTGACTTTTGAGGATTTCTATATTCATCACAAAAGTTTCCTTCTGCTGGTATATTGTGAATGTTAGTCAACATGTGCATGTCTCACTTTTTCTTGCAAACCAATGCTGTGAGATCACCGCCAGTCCTCACTCAAATATCACCACATTTCAGTTTTAGATTTTTCCATCCTAAATCTCATGGCACACACTTCCTGCCTGGTCAGACAGTCCCATTACAGTTTAATTAATTTAAGTCTATTGAGAGAAAAGTCAGGGGAAGAGAAGAAATATTCAATGTATAACTAATTGCCTGTCCTTCCAGATTTCTTGTGAGATCCATCACTGTAGCATGGGTAGCATAGCCACATATTGCTGGTCATTTCTCAAATATACCTTTATGTCATAAGTGTACCCAGCAGAATCACACAACTTGAAATTGTTGATGTTGATTATTTTTAAAAGTACTGCTTGGAAACAACTTGCCCTCTGAACAGAACAATCATTTTGTCTAATGCCAAATGCTAAGATGGACTGTAATTTTTTGTGAAAGCATCGTTGAGAATTTGAAATACATCTCGCATTTTCTGTAGCCTCTCATAATTTTCATCATTCTTTTCAGTTTCTTTCCCGTTGTCAACGAAGTATAGGAAGTGAAAAATGTGTAAGAATTTATAATTTTATAGTGTTGCTGCAGAAAGGTGTATATACTTGTTCCATTGTAGCCAAAAATCTGTCAGTCTCTCTCATATGTCACATCCCATTTGTATAATCACAGCCAAAAACAGAAAATTTCAGACTCAGTCACTTGAGGGAACGGAGAGGAAGCATCATCAGTAGTGTCCAGGTACTGTTGACAGTATCGGTTTGTCTCCACCACCAGCAGATAACTTCTGAAAAAGGCAACATGAAAACACAAAGTGGACTTGAACTTCTGTTTATGTGCCAGGCTTCACTATGTTTCACATCACTGGGACCACCTCAACACAAAGTGGACTTGAACTTCTGTTTTTGTGCCAGGCTTCACTGTGTTTCACATCACTGGGACCACCTGTAAAGTTGTAGATACCCCTGATATATCCTGTTTGAAAGGACAGTTCCCAGTCGGAAGTTGTTGATTTTTGTTTTTGTTGTTGCTGCTGCTGCTGTTGTTATGGTGGTGATGGGGATTATGGCAAATGTCACACTTCTTGCATATGGTATTCCTCCTCCAGTTCTGTTTCCTCCCCTTGAACTTGAGAATAGCCATCACTGTCACTTTCCAGAATTAATTTAGTATTGTTATTCTGAAATCTCCTGGAGCCACGGTCGAAAACTGTTCTGCGTTGCTTGTGCAATCATCTGCATTACCTTCAAGACAAGTGATGTTATGCTCTCGTCTCTGATACAAATCATGCTGTTGGTATGTTTATTACTGATTATTTGTGTCCATTCACATACAAGCCCGTTGTTTATGTTCACACTTCCACTGCGATAACAGTCTGGATGGCAAGTGCATGGAACCCATGAACACAAATATGAGATCTGAACATTGCAAAATCATGCATTCCCCAAGAGGATCACACGTAACACTGACCCCACAATGAGCGATCCGCCAGTGACCTGCATATATTCTAAAGGTTAAAGACTGAGGTGTTTTAAGTTCCTCTTGCCTATGCATCATTGCATGTCAGTTATATGTAAAATGACAATTATATTATAATTTACCACTTTGTATGAACGAAGGGGATCTGAAAAATGTCTTGTGTTACTGCCACAAACAAATGAACCAACATATTTTTACAAAGTGTAGGTTTCACCAAACTGTGACGAGTTTTGCCACTGCCTACTTAAAAATTATTAAATTACCTTTCGAGTATTCTGTGACAGTATTGTCATTTGGGCTTGGGCAAGATGTTGAACAGACTGAAATGTTGTGAGAGGATGGCCAGAGATGTCTATGGACTTTGTTGTCTGGGGTACACTGTTACCAGACTGCATCAAAGCTTTTGCAGACTTGTGTTCATGATGAGAAGAGAGTCTTTCAGATGAACTTGGTGTGGAGTAATCAACCGCGTCCACTAAAATGTTTTTCTCTTTTGACAGTGTCTTGGTCTTTTGTTTCACCATTTTCTGAAAGAAGAGTTATAAGCTTTAGCCAAGTTGTTTCAGTAAGGTGTTACACATTAGGCATTTACTTATCATGTACCTTGTTTCTCATTTCCATTGCATTTAATTAAGTGAAACTGATTTTATTACATATTCCTATAATGATACACAAGAACAATTTTTGATGATCTTCTTGGTTGTTGCACAGTGCGACATTTTAGCTGTGCTTGAATGTTTCAGAGAAACATACTGTCTCCATCATGAGGACTAAAGACCGAAATACTACACAGTGCAACGACACAGAGCACTGATATTCGTATCACCACAAAAACAACTCAAACTTCTTAACTACAAGAAAGATGACAGGACCTTTTTAGAACACACTTAGCTATCAATAAAATCATCAGCTGTTACTGCTCCAGGGATAAAAAAGAATCTTTCTCAGAATATACAATGGGCTGTTCAGGTGATTAGAAATTTTCAGTTCCACATTCATAACAGTCTTGACTATGCTTTTGGAAAGCCATTATTTACAGCTTATGGAGTTATTTTTAGGCAGTTCATTGAATTGACAGAATCTTACAGGAACCGAAGAATAGAAGCAAAATGTACTGAGTTTGGCAAAAATAAGAACATTTGTTCAATCAGAAATTAGTAAAGAGTTTTGTTAGACTAAGAAAAACACATAAAATTTAGCTAAGAATAGTATGTGCTAACCTTTAGCTCAGTTTCCTGCTTTCTCAACAGATACTGCATATTTCGTACACCCGTCTATCTCACCAGTCAGTTTAGCATGATGTCTGTGCTGTCCGTTTGTTCGCCAACACGTTCCACTGTAATTGCATCTTCTTTTCTGCCCACTGGAAATTCAAACAAAGTGACCCCACCATATCATCAGGCTCATAACTGGTTGTATCTATTGCATCTATGCAGATATTGGTTTTGAACTTATTCTTCAGTTTTCAACTGTTATATTTATACATAATAGATCAAATTTGGTCATAATTTAGATATTACAATGGGCATTAATCCTTACGGAAAAATTCGCTTCTTGACCAAGATTAGAACCCAGAATATTCTGCTTCTTGGCACTTTCCTGGTCTTTGCATTGAGAAAAAAAAAACAAAAACATGATCATCCCTAAATTGAATGGCAGTCATGTCTCTGCTGAGGTAAACATTAAAGCAATAAGTTTGTTTTATATGTAGGTAACTTGTTTAATTCAATTAGCATAATATTAAAAATTCTATCATGTTGCTACTTTCCAGCAAAACAAAATAAATTAAGGATTCGAAGTTTCCACAGCGGTGAGTCACAAGATGGTTGCCTTCTGGGTTGTTGTGCTGTGTAGTCTGATAGAAGTTTACAAACGTTTCAGAGGTCCTTGCTGCCTCCATAATCAAGGCAGTGATCACCCCAATAATGGAGGCAACAAGGACCTCTGAAACGGTAAACTTCTCTCAGACTACACAGTGCAACACCCCAGAAGACAGCCATCTTCAAAATAATGTTTCTTATGAAATTCGGTTAAGTCATAATACCCATCTTTTAAGTTTTCCATGTCTGACAACAATGGTTCATGAAATCTAATTCAAAGATAAATTTGGAATTTAAAATGTGCAAGCCTGTCACACTGAAAGACTTTAATATTCTAAAGTTATATGAGAGATAATGACCAGCACAGAAGACTTTATATTCACAAATAACCAATAAAATATACACCCATTAACCTGAGCAAGGGATATGAACAATGTCTGGTATTCCCAGCATTCATAATGCTTTGTCTTTGACAGAAGGGAGGGATGGTAAAGGCATGCAGGAAAACCTCCAGCAGAATTAGACTCTTCCAAGACTTCTGACTTTCCCCTAAACCACAAGATGTATGATTTTACAATGAGACTAAACATGTAATCTGTGGAAGCAGTCATCAGGCACAGAGCTTCAGCCACTCTGCATCAACTGTCTTCATGCATACCTACTGTTTAACCATTCTGATAGGCTCACATTTCTTGTCAAATTTTTGTTGCAACAGCTGAGAACATGCATCCATTTCACTAACTTTTGCATCCAAGACAGTTCTCTAAAAACTTACATCAAAACAGTCATGTGCTCTTAATATACACAATGCAGATTCTATAAATAACATGTCTACTTCGTACTTCACTGAAAGTATAATTAACTAACATCCTATAAGCAAAAGTAATGGCGTTTAACAGTGTACCACGTGAGAATATGTTAGTGTTTCAATTATAGTACTAAGATTCATAAGACATAGGAACACGTGAACTGAAGGCAACATGTCTGAATATATTTAGGAAGTACTGATTTAAATGCTGGCCATGATACCAATTATCATGGCAGATTTTCCTAAGTCCTCTGCTCCAGGAAAATGATGGAATAGTGTCTTACAACAGGCTTAATTCCATTATCATTCACCAGGCACCTCTAACACTTATCATAATTTCTCATGTTATATGGCTGATTTACCTAATCAAGTTTTCAAATAAAAAATTCATAATAGGAGTCAGGCACAAGAGTTCAGAAGATACTAAAGGTGGATTTTTTCTGTTCATTTACTGTATGAAGTCACACTGAAGGTGATACACGTCTCTTTGAAACCACTGATGTAAGTGGTGGGAACTTTGAACAGAACAAAACAATAATTTATGAAGTATATTTTAAAACAATTCTGGCATTTAATGTTGAAACATAGATCCTAAGAAAGAAAATCAAGAAAGCAGAGTCCAAGCAATGGACACAAAATTACTTTTATGAGAATTTACGGTAAAACAAGAAGGGATAGGATTAGAAATAAAATATAATTACAGTTTAAATTTAAAATTTGTAATTGTATTAGAAAATAAACTACAGTGATTTAGCCAGAGATATAGAGAAGGGCATTAGATGTAGAATTAAAAAAAAAAGGGGGAGACCTGCGGGATAATGCAGACCAATACAGTTCACCCAGGTAATAGAAGAGAGGGAACAGCTGGCGATAAATCACATTGGAAATATTGTACAAAAACATCCACTGACCAATATAAAACAGAAACAATGACAGAAGGAAAAGTAATTACTCAAATTACTATTCTTATACAGAGTAATAGTTCTGTTACTTTCAACTTTTTCTTAAAATTTATCTTTACCACCAGCCTTCCAAGTATTATTCATGTGTCCTACTGTGGTCTTATAACCAGCATTTGCAGAATCTCCTTAGTAACCAAAATTAAACACTTTAGCACTGTCCCCATCATTAATGTTTCATTAACCTTGAAACAAGAACAGCCCAAGCCTGCTGATGAGGCTTCCACATCTAAAGTACCTCCATAACAAACACTAGCATTATCAAGATTTTTGTATTTTGCGTTGTTGCACTGTATAGTCTTGTAGATGTTCACCATTGCCCTGATGATGTTGGTAAACATCTACCAGACTACAGAGCGCAACAACCCAGAAGACAGAAATCTTCATACTCACTGCTGTGAAAACATCAAATCATACACTAGCATTATCATTGCTTCAAACTGCCACTCCCCCATCTACTCTTTCATGTAATCTTGGTTTACCATCTTTACAGTCACAAATAAAGCCATTTTAGTGTTTTGTGTTTGATTTAATTTACCTTAACCTTGATTACTGATTGGATTTTATTCAAATGAAACTTTGTATTTACTGTTGTTCTATCTTAATGTTATGATGCATTAAAAGTATTATTTACTTCTGTATTTAAATCATTTAGCAATGTTTACATCAATTATTAGAATGCAACTGCCATATGCTATAGCGCATTCACTGAAAAGGTTGAATGCAACTGTCATTTCCTGACTGGAACTGCATGACACACTGCCAAGCACCACATGGTTTTCTCAATATAAGTCAAGTATTGCTTCATAGAAACAATAAATGAACTTAACTTTTTTAGCCAGGAGCTGTGAAGTAACAGTTGTGTTCAACTTTGTCAATGAATATACTGTATAATTACTTTTATAAGGCCTGCCATGTACAATGATTGGAGAAACAGCTATGTGAAGCAAGAAGTGGTTGTACAGCTAAAAACAGGATGCACAGAGTAACTGAAGTTGAACATGTTAATGTGTCTCAATTGAAAAGCATTTTGTACAGCTGTTGCAGTATCCACTTGGCCAACACCACCACACATAACACATGGTGTATCACCAAACTTGATTTCCAGGAGAAAATGAGAAACACCAACACAAGAACTGAAAATGCTATAATTTACCTGCACGTACCCAATCCTGTCTCAACAGATTGTACTGCTCTCTTCTCAGCACCAACTCTGCCTCATTATTAATAAACTTATCATTCATTGGATCTTTCAACTCCGAGCAAGGAAAGGTTGTACTAAAATTCAAACTTATAAATTACCTGTACACCAGTAAATGAATTAACCTTGATCATCCATCATGCATCACTGCTTATTCAGCCCAACTGGCCCTGTCACACTAGCCTAACTCAGATCATTAAACCTGGAGTTAAAGTCCAGCCAGCAGGTCCATGGTATTAAGGTTTAAATCCCCATTAACTTATGATAAAATTTTATGGCACAAAATTCCATTAAATTTTGTTTATATGAGCAAAGCCAAGACAAACCATCTTCAAACAACGATTATCCACCTGGTTGTTAATAACTCATTACTGACAGTTCCTTCTCACTTTCATATTAACATGGCTACAAATATACATCCCATTTTAAGGATTACGACATGAATACATCAAGTTCAAAAACTTTTATTCTCTTTATGTAATGCTAACAACAGCTGTGCGGTAAATTTTAGTAATGATAATATTCCTATTCTTCAGATTAATAATTACATCATCCCAGGTAATAGAAGAGAGGGAACAGCTGGCGATAAATCACATTGGAAATATTGTACAAAAACATCCACTGACCAATATAAAACAGAAACAATGACAGAAGGAAAAGTAATTACTCAAATTACTATTCTTATACAGAGTAATAGTTCTGTTACTTTCAACTTTTTCTTAAAATTTATCTTTACCACCAGCCTTCCAAGTATTATTCATGTGTCCTACTGTGGTCTTATAACCAGCATTTGCAGAATCTCCTTAGTAACCAAAATTAAACACTTTAGCACTGTCCCCATCATTAATGTTTCATTAACCTTGAAACAAGAACAGCCCAAGCCTGCTGATGAGGCTTCCACATCTAAAGTACCTCCATAACAAACACTAGCATTATCAAGATTTTTGTATTTTGCGTTGTTGCACTGTATAGTCTTGTAGATGTTCACCATTGCCCTGATGATGTTGGTAAACATCTACCAGACTACAGAGCGCAACAACCCAGAAGACAGAAATCTTCATACTCACTGCTGTGAAAACATCAAATCATACACTAGCATTATCATTGCTTCAAACTGCCACTCCCCCATCTACTCTTTCATGTAATCTTGGTTTACCATCTTTACAGTCACAAATAAAGCCATTTTAGTGTTTTGTGTTTGATTTAATTTACCTTAACCTTGATTACTGATTGGATTTTATTCAAATGAAACTTTGTATTTACTGTTGTTCTATCTTAATGTTATGATGCATTAAAAGTATTATTTACTTCTGTATTTAAATCATTTAGCAATGTTTACATCAATTATTAGAATGCAACTGCCATATGCTATAGCGCATTCACTGAAAAGGTTGAATGCAACTGTCATTTCCTGACTGGAACTGCATGACACACTGCCAAGCACCACATGGTTTTCTCAATATAAGTCAAGTATTGCTTCATAGAAACAATAAATGAACTTAACTTTTTTAGCCAGGAGCTGTGAAGTAACAGTTGTGTTCAACTTTGTCAATGAATATACTGTATAATTACTTTTATAAGGCCTGCCATGTACAATGATTGGAGAAACAGCTATGTGAAGCAAGAAGTGGTTGTACAGCTAAAAACAGGATGCACAGAGTAACTGAAGTTGAACATGTTAATGTGTCTCAATTGAAAAGCATTTTGTACAGCTGTTGCAGTATCCACTTGGCCAACACCACCACACATAACACATGGTGTATCACCAAACTTGATTTCCAGGAGAAAATGAGAAACACCAACACAAGAACTGAAAATGCTATAATTTACCTGCACGTACCCAATCCTGTCTCAACAGATTGTACTGCTCTCTTCTCAGCACCAACTCTGCCTCATTATTAATAAACTTATCATTCATTGGATCTTTCAACTCCGAGCAAGGAAAGGTTGTACTAAAATTCAAACTTATAAATTACCTGTACACCAGTAAATGAATTAACCTTGATCATCCATCATGCATCACTGCTTATTCAGCCCAACTGGCCCTGTCACACTAGCCTAACTCAGATCATTAAACCTGGAGTTAAAGTCCAGCCAGCAGGTCCATGGTATTAAGGTTTAAATCCCCATTAACTTATGATAAAATTTTATGGCACAAAATTCCATTAAATTTTGTTTATATGAGCAAAGCCAAGACAAACCATCTTCAAACAACGATTATCCACCTGGTTGTTAATAACTCATTACTGACAGTTCCTTCTCACTTTCATATTAACATGGCTACAAATATACATCCCATTTTAAGGATTACGACATGAATACATCAAGTTCAAAAACTTTTATTCTCTTTATGTAATGCTAACAACAGCTGTGCGGTAAATTTTAGTAATGATAATATTCCTATTCTTCAGATTAATAATTACATCATGACAGTGCTAGTATTTAGTTTAAACACAAAGACACATAAATAAATATAATATAGGTAGTGAAGAAAAAATTAAATGATTATGTAGTATAAGATGTCTGAAGATTATGCAGTGTCAGCATTCATTGTTACAACTGGTATTTTATGAAAGTGACCTAGATGCATTCATATTTAAAGTCAGTCAGATGCTGGCACTTCTTTCACAGCAATAGAAAATGCAAAACTCACAATAAAAAATTGTTGACACACTCTGTTTACCTGCATACATCTTTTAGTTTGTTTGTTTTTAAGTGTTGCATAAACAAATACACTCTAGTTACAGGTAACAAGAAACAGGGTTACACTGTAAGATTTCTTGCACACAACTTTCTCAAAAATTTTAGAAAATGTTGTCACAAGTGAAATTGAATTTTAGATTTTTTGAGAAAAATACTTACTCCTTCTTTTGACATATTTTATCTGCAGTAACTAGCTCCTAGAGTATAATTTTCTAGATTGACCTGTAAAATTTCTCGTGCTATCATATGGTATTCATTCAAACATAAAATATGGGGTGAAAATGTATAATTTATGGACACTAATAATTCAACAATTTTGTTTTAAAGTCTTCTCGTATTCTGATGATACACCACGACATTTTTATTTTGATTCTGATGTAAATTTAAAATTGGCTTATTTACAGTGACTTGGATATCTTTCAGGTATTTGGTGATAAATTTGTGTTTTAACCTAAAAAAGGCCAAGGTCTTACACCAGTGATTACAGGAATCGTACCAGTATTTGGGTTGCACCCAATCTCGTTCGTAATGAAATGCCCAACCTTCTCTTTACCCCTTGAAATCATGAGCAACCGTGATTGCCGTGGATGCAGCAAAGATCTCTGGAACGTCGGAAAACTTCTACCAAACTACACGGCCCAACAACCCAGAAGACATCAATCTTCAACAAAAGCTCTTAACTACGCATTAAGCAGATGCCAATTTAATAAGCAATGAAATATAATTTAACAGTCATTTTCATCTTTCCAATCAAATATATACGACCACATTTTCGTTACCTGATTCAAAGCACAGAAAATAGAACAATCTCTCATTTACTCTGTGGCCGGAGACGGAATTCATAGTAGCAAAGATAAATATCATATTCAAAGAAAAATTGCACCATTTTCTGTTTAATCAAGCTGCAAAGTGATGACATGAGTGTTCTAGTTCTTCTCATTGTTGCTGTTACCTAGTAAGAGTAAGTGTTGATCATTGATAGTGTGTGGTGAGGTTTCTCTGGTGTAGTTCTAATTTAATAAATTAACAACCTTAATATGGGCTGTGATGGGGGCACTATCCCCAAAAGAGCTGAGCTGGTAAATACAAAAAAGAAGCCAGTGAAAGTAAGTGTACAATATAATTTATTTGTATTCCATGGTCTAAGCCAATGACATAACACAAATACAATACTTGTTTCTAGTGCAAATATAAATACATAGTTATAACAGCTATTTATAGATATCTTAAACTACAGTATTGCAGCAAAATAATTATGACGAGAAACCATCACCATTGTTACTTACATTTATTGATAAATTCTTCTACTGAATAGGAGTGAGATAGGAGATACTCTTTTAACACTGCCTTGAACATTTTTATATCGTGATTTAAACGTTTTATAGTAGGTAGAAGATTATTGAATAAATTAATTCCAGTACAGTAAACTCCTTTTTGATATTTACTGAGGTTAGAATTTGTCAGATGAAGGTTGTATCTGTATCTTATATTGTGGATATCTGAATTTGTTTGAAAATTTTCCATTTTATCCACTGCAAATGATAATATTGAGAGCAGGAATTCACTGGGTAGTGGAAGAATATTAAAACTTCTTAAATAATTCCCTACAAGAGGCTGTAATGATCCTCTTTTAAGTGTGAAATACTTTTTTGTTGTCCATTGAATTTACAAAGAAAATTATTCTCGTATGACATGATGGAATGGAAGTAAGCAAAACAAACTAATTCTAAAGTTTCTGTTTTCATGAGTGCTGCAACTGTACTTATACCAAAACATAATGTATTGAATATGTGTTTTCCAGTTTAATTTGTTGTCTATTTGTAGGCCAAGAAATTTAATTGTTTCTATTTTCTCGATTATTTTATCATCATGCCCTATATTTAGATTTACGCAAGTTCTGTTGTTAGTACAAAATTTCATGAATTTTGGTTTGTCACAATTTAATGTGAGTTTATTGGCTTTAATCCATTAGTTCAAGCTAGCAAAGACATCATTTATGCAATTTTAAAAACAGACAATTTCTGGATATGAAATAATAATATTAGTATCATCAGCAAAGAGTATAAGTTTAGAATGAGAGTTGATGGTTGAGGGCAGTTCATTGGTATATACGAGAAAAGGCAGAAGACCAAGTATTGAACCTTGGGGCACTCCATGTTTTACAATGCCCCAATTTGAGTAGGTACTATCATTTGAATTTGATGATTTTATTTCTACTTGTTGCTTTCTGTCATGAAGGTATGGTTTAAACCACTGACAAGCTATATTTTGAATTCCATAAAAATTTAGTTTTAATAGTAATAATTCTTTATTTACTCAATCGAATGCTTTAGCAAGATCACAAGATATTCCAGCAACATGGACTTTATTATTTAATGCCCTTAAGATTTCATCTGTAAAATTGAACAGGGCTTTATCAGTCAAGATTTTTTTTCTAAATCCAAATTGTTCACCTTGAAAGACGTTCAAGTTTAAGGAATCACTTACTCTCTTATACATAAGTTTTTCAAATATTTTAGAGAATGCTGTTGGTAATGAAATTGGTCTCTAATTAGACATGCAAGATATCTCACATTTTTTATATAGAGGTTTAGCTTTTGAATATTTGAGTCATTCTGGGAAAGCTCCTATTGCCATTGATTGATTGCACAGATAAGTTAGAGGAGCACTAATCTGGTCTGTGCCACTTTTTAGTAATGTTGTAGATATTTCATCATAACCACATGAATATTTTGATTTGAGAGAATTCATTGTACTTTTAATTGCATTTGTTGTTATAAACATAAGACTTAAATTTGGAAAGGTTTCAGGGATTGCTTCAGCAAGGTACTTTGTTATAAGATCTGAGGTTATGTATAATGAATTCTTCTCGGGCCACCAGGTATGTATGGTGGTTTAATGAAGAGAACACAAGCGTTTCAAGAATTATCTTCGTCCTCGGCTGGTAGCCCGAGAAGTATTCTTCGTACTTGATTTGTTCCTTTTTCACATTTTATAATTTGATATGATTGCTTTACATTTGCAGGAGAAAGACGAGAAAAATGCTTGGTTGTGGAGAACCTGCAGCCTCACACAGCTGGTGTTTGAACCACCGGTAGTATCGTGCTTCTTGGGCAAATTTTATAACAAATGTGCTGTGATTGATGCCCTGTTGAACAAGAGTCCTGTGCTCCCACAGCACATCAAAAGGTTGAAGGTAAAGATTATAAACATTGAACTAAAAATAGGTAATATAAGCTGGATTATGATGAAATATCATTGCATTAATACACATTCTGTCTATCGAAAGGAGGCGGTGATGACCCACTACTGGGTTAAGCTACTAATAGGTAGATTGATAGAATGCACATAAATACAATTATGAGCAAAATTTCTTCACTTAATAAAGTTAAAAATTACAGTTTTATGTTACACCTTTGTTTGGTAGAGTTAAAATCAAAGTTAATGTCAAATTCCCATGTATGTGCAGTACATTCATTCATCAGTTATTTGTGTTCAAAAATTCTCTTTTAATAGGAAAGAATTAAACATTGAGCTATAATGTAACAGACAGGAACTTATGAATTCGTAAAGAATATAAGATATTGAATAAAATAAAAATAAAATTCAGTTAGGACTTATATCAGTTTCTAATTTAAGGTTATATCCAGAATTTGATGTTTGGAAAGAGGTAGTAGTGCAGAACAGAAGTGAACAGAATCATTAAGTAAATACTACACAGTATTTTGTTTATCAGTCGGTTAATTCTTACCTGTGGTTAGTATTTATAAAGCAAATATGTTACTTGCCGTAGTCAGTAGTCATTCTAAATTCTTAGCCATGTGGATATGTAATTCAACTGATGATATTTTAGAGCTGGTATGTAATATAGTGACACTGTGATTGAACCTCTTTAGCACTGCTGAAATGATGTTATATACCATGAAGCTTCATGTAAAATGGTGATAACATGTACCAGTTAGTGAGTTTTAAGTTTGTTGAGTCCCTAAACTTAACAAGAGTAATACGTATAACCTGTCCTGTCCCCACAGCTCAGTTTTATGACTATTTCAACTTAATTAAGTACTGTAGTCTTATATATTTTCTCAATGTATTGTTTATTCTTGATGTAGATGTCATGTATTATGAGAGGAAATGTATTTATAATTAAAGACACTGAAATTTGCCTTGCAGGATATTAAAGATCTGAAGCTTACTCCAAATCCAGCATTTAAGCCATCAGCGGAGAAGGGCGATGAGTATATTGATTGCCATTTAGCACCATACATCTGCCCAGTGGTTGGAATTGAGATGAATGGGAAGTTTCGATTTGTGTTCCTCTGGGGATGTGGTTGTGTCATGTCAGAAAGAGCTCTCAAAGAAGTGAAGAGTAAGCTGTGCCTCAAGGTAAGAAACTATTGAAATTATTATCAAGATAATATGGCAAGAATATAATTTCTTTCTCTTTTTGGGGATTGAAGTCTAAGAATATTGGTGGTACCAGAATATGCATCATGCTTTCAAGTTCTTTGTTTGATAGACAATAAAATTTGATAAGGCAGCATGATAAAATGTATATTTGTTTCCTCAGTCTTGTATAATGTATGTGGAAGTATTTTGTAAGTGAAGCATGAAGGATTTTGCAGGTGTGTTTGTTTTATGTCCACAGGAATAAATTAGTGTAACTCCATGTTACTGTTGTGTAGATATCCCTGGGTAATTTGAAGCCATACCATAACTGTCTTCTTCCTAAGACTTTCCATTTTAAGTGGGTTATCTGACAAACAAGCCTGTCTGACTTCCCACAGTGTATATTACATTTATTTCATGATTTCCTAACATGGCTAAATATGTGTGTATTTGTTCTGAGTGAGATGTTTGTCTCCTTCACTTGCCTTAGTGCACAGGTTTAATTATAACTACATCCTGTCTGCTTCATAATTGTTGAAGTAGTTTTATATAACCTGTGAAAAGATACCAGGTGTTTGACAGCTTAGCCAGTTACTGGGTACACCTACAGTGAATGATCCAGAGGAATTCAGTTTTATGTTGAATGTGTGGACTGGGGGAATGAAGTAATGAATATAAATAATTCATGCCAAAAGTAAGAGATTGAACTGAGAAAATACAGTCCATGTTATAATTCAGAGGGTAATATTGAAATTAGTTCACGGAAATAGTCTTAGGGTATGGACTGGATTCATCTGGCTGAAGATAGGGGAAAGTGGTAGGCTTTTGTGAACATGATAATGAACACTGACTGAGGTTCCATAAGGGATATAGTTTTTTTTTGACTAGCTGAATGTATCATTTGCTTCTCAAGGACTCTGCTCAGTAGAGTTATTGATATTTCAACTGTTACATCTGTTATTTAGTTAATAAGGTCTTTGTGTGTATCCTCTTCACCACATATAAATAAGGAACTTTAAATTCAGTAGATATTGGAACAAAACAGACTCATACAGAATTAAAAATCACTTGGGGACAGCAATGCCTGTGGGTTCCTCACAGAGTTACGTGAACAGCTGAATAAAAAAAATGTAGTGTGTTAGACAGGACTTGCCATAAAATATTGAAATTTGTGTTCAATCTCAGTGAAATAAGTCAGACTGTATTCTGGTATCATTAATACCAAATGTTATTTTTCTTTCTTGTAGGACAGAACATGAAATAACTTTAAGGCAACTAGAGCACAATCTTTTATCCATTATAAAGAACACACAAAAATGTCTCGTTGAGTTTGGCTTCACTAGTGTTAGTGCATTAGCTGTACTATCAGGTGCATAAGCATTACTTTATATTCATACTTTGTTCTTTATTATATTACATA